ATGCTACGGTTTGTATCACTTTATTTATAAAATTCATTTTTCTCCACATCTATCACAAAATACATCCGATCACTTACATTACTGTATCATACTACAATTTATGCCACGGCTTGTCCAACTTTATTTACTATCATTTTTCTATAATCAAAAAATCAAATCTATTAAATGAAATGTGATTGAAATTTAAATGTGACTTATCCACTTATCCAATCAAATTCTTTAATGATATAATCAAAAATTATTTTTGCCTACGTTCAATTTATCACATCCATTTCATTTAAATTTAATGATAAGATGAATAAATTTGATCATTTCTTTAAATTTATTTTATTATTCATTTTTCTTTCTCTTTCAAAACTCTACAAATTCTTTTGTTTTATCAATTTAAATAAAATAAATATAAATTTACTTTTATCAATTTTAATTAATTTCCATAAAAATTTACAACAATTTTTGATTTTAATGAAAAGAATTTAAAAATTCATTTATATTTAATTACAAACAAATTCCTTTGTTTGATCAAATTTTCCAACAATAACAAATGTGTTTTCTTTTGTTTTTTTATAATTATAATAATATAATAAAATAAAATTTAGCGTATAAATAAAATTTAAATATATAAAATAAAATATCAAATTTAATGTCTTTTTTCGTTAACAAATATTTATCAAAATTTTGAGATTTCTCATATTTTCATTTCTTCTTACTATAAATGTTTTGATTGTAATATTTATGATGTATCCCTCAAAATAAAAGGACGGAAACTTTGAGAGAAATTTTATTCCCTCGGGAATTTTTTATAGTAAAATAGTTATAAATTTGAGAGTTTGAAAATGTTGGCAAAAAGAATAATTTTGAGATTTATTGATGGAAGTGAAAAATTGTTCGAGTTAAACATCAGAAATTACAAGCATACCCTCCCTTCATTAGCATAGAGAATGTTAAGTTGAAAAACGAGAGAGAGAGAGAGAGAGAGAGGGAAAGAGAGAGAGAAGGAAAGTGAGTCTTTTTAATCTAACCATTTCGGGATGTATATTTTTGAAAATATGTAAAAATAATAGTTAGCATAAAATGTTGGATAAATAAATTTGAATAATTGATAGATTGAAAAATTGACTTGCTTGTAGTGTTTTTTCATGTAACACGTCATTTATAAATTTTTTCACGTAACAATCATTTATAAGTTTTTTCACGTTACACGTCATTTATAAGCTTTTCACGTAGCACGTCATTTATAAATTATGATAAAATGATTTTCTCTTTAATACTTTCATATTTTAGGACAATTTTTTTAATTCTTCATAATAGAAAAAAAAAGCAGAAAGAAACAAAGGCTAATTAACAGATGAAAGAATAAAGAAACAAAGAATCTGTCAAAAACAATAATTTTATTAAATTTATTATTAACTTAACACAATCACTTCAATCTTCAATTTAAGGAAAAAAAAATGAAAGAAAAACCTTATCAAATTTAATTCCTATTAATCTTTTAGGTAAATTTGTAATTAATTAAGGAATTGATTTAATTTTACCTTTCTTTATCATTTGTCTAAATAAAAGACTTTATTGAGTAATATGATTTATAGGATTGCTTGTTGGATGTATGCTATGCAAATTTCACATTTAAAATTATGATACTCTATAAATTATGAAAAAATAATTTACGAGGATGAAAAGGAAGAAATTGTAAGATAAAGCAGTGAAGAGGCAGAAGGAGAAAAAGAGAAGAGAGGAAAAAAGTTGAAATATAAGCAGTAATTAATTACAAATGTAGTTAATTAATTATATCTGTAATTAATTGTTGTATAAAAATATAATTAATTATAAAATGCAATGAAATGTAATTAATCATTTTTAAACAGTAATTAATGATATTTGTAATTAATTACTTGTGGTGGTAACGAGTGATGATTGCAAAGTATTAACTAATAAATTAATCTAATAACTAATAATTAATATTAACTAATAATTAATCTAATAAATTAATTGCGTGTTTTATTTGCAAAATAAAAACAAACAAAATATTTGCATAAATTAATATTATACATTTATAAATGAAATCAAACATAAAGTAAAATTATCCTTTTGTTTTTTGATAAAATTAATTTAATAATTAAGTGAGCAATTTTTTTGAGAAAGAAATTTAAATTATAAAATAAAATTTGATAGTAAAAAATTTCTAAGAATAAACAATTATAATTTGAGAAGATGAAATTCATTTTATTTGAATAATTCATAAGTTATACTTAAACTTTGAAGATGTAATTCATTTTGCTTCATTTTTCCTACTGTTGGTTAATGATATATTAATATTGTTAAAAATTTTTCTGAAGCAAATTTTTATATTTTATAATTTCAACTTTTGTTTTTAAGTATTTCTTTGTTTTAGAAAATGGGCAGTACAGTAAATGGGAATTTGAAAATCAATACTGTAAATGAGATTTAAAAATCTTTACTATAAATGTGAATTTAAAAATCTTTACTATAAATGAGAATTTAAAAATCTTTACTGTAAATGCGACTTTAAAAATCAATACTGTAAATGAGAATTTAGAAATCAATACTGTAAATGAGAATTTAAAAATCTTTTCAAATTGTTAATTTTTGTATTTTGATATTGCATGAAGAAAAATCTCTCATATAATTTTAATAATACTAATATCATATAATTTTACTACTAAAATTTACATTTAAAAATGATTAGAAAATAAATTTACTGAACTAACTTATCATTAAAATATATATTCATTTAATTGCATATCCATTAATTAGCCGTTAAATTATGCAATAAACTATGAATTCAAAATGATTAAGATTTAAATCAAATTAATGATAATAATGATAATAATTTTAATCTAGCGATAACAATTTATCTAATGATAATTTTATGATAATTTTATCTAGCTATTTTTTCATATTCTAAAAAACTATTTATTCTTTTACCAATTTCACAATTTCAGGTGTACTAATTAATTTTACCTTTTTTTAATTCATTCCTTATATTATTACATATTCATTAATTATTTTTCAATAATTTTTTCTGAAAAACTTTGATATTTTCTTCAATTTTTTGCAAATTTCGTTTTTCTTCATTTTTTCAGCAATTTCTTTCTTTTTGATTTTTATAAATTTGAAAAAAATGGGTGGAAATAGAAATTTCGGGGAAATTTTTTCCAACATTATTATCATATTGACAGTTTTTCATCATTTGATAAATTACAGAATGGCTATTTGATGATATCATGAACAAGAGATAATTAAAAGTAAAAAATGAGAGAGAGGAGAGAAAAAGAAATTCAAATTTCTAATACTAAAAAGAATTATCTTATTGACAGTTACCCATCATTTGACAATCCTATTTAGCGATATTATACACAAAAAAAGATAATTAAATAATTCAAATTTCTAATACTAAAAAGAACAATGGAAAAATTCATCTGTGAATTTTAATTTTGAAATTTTCTGTTTTATATTTAAGTATAAATTATTAGCATTAGCCTTTGAATTCATTCGAATTATGACTGATAAATTTGAATCATTCCTGTAATTTGGATAATTATTTTAATTTCTAATTTCTATTAACTACTTAAATGATTGTAAATTTGAAATAACAATTTAAATTTACCTTACAATAACATCTACTATTATATGACAGACAAACGAAAACATTAAATTTGTATTAAGCCTGTTGGATGTGATTGCAGAAAAGATTACTTATTACAAGTGAATCGAATTATCATAACTAATTTGTGAAATCTAAAATTACCTCAATCATTATCATTTAGGTTTAATTTAGATTTTGATAACTTTATTTTATCAGTTTAATTTTTCTATAGGAATATACGGAACCATATTTCATGGGCATTTTTTGCTTTGAATTTTTGTTAAAAGTGATAGCATTTGGATTTGTTCTTCATAAAGGATCATACCTCCGCTCAGGATGGAATATTATGGATTTTATTGTTGTTGCCTCAGGGTAAGTCATTTTTCATTTTTTAAAAAAATTACTAATGATATTGTCTTTTTGTTTATTTAAATCATTTTCTTTAATTACAAATTATATTGTCTTTCTATTTATTTAAGTCATTTTTATTAATTACAAATTTCATTAGTTCGTTTCTTTTAATTATAAATTGTATAAATAATTTATTATCTCGTAATTTTTTTTAAAGTTCAAAGAATATCTAACTTATTTTACTTTCAAAATCTTGAAAAATATTAGTATGAAGACGGGAAAAAACCTGAAAAAGAATATGATCAAGAATGACATACCGTAATGATACACCGTATTATTAACTACCATATCATTCCATGCAGCCTACTTATTTTAGGTAAATAGTTTAAGATTTTCTTAATTTTTATAGTAATATTTGAATATCAAAGAAAGTTTCAGTGTTGTAACAATGATGCCTTTTACATCGTCGGATGGCGAAGGACGAGGTTCGGTCGATTTAAGGACACTTCGAGCTGTTCGTGTCCTCAGGCCACTCAAACTTGTCTCCGGCATACCAAGTAAATACATTTTACAGTTCAATTTATTACAATCTCAAATAATTTTATTTGTAATCAAAAAACAATAAAAAATAATTATGAAATATTACAATATAATTTCCATCCATTTTTGCATAATTAAAAGTTTTTTCTAATTTTTGCAATTACAATTTAAAAGCAACCAAAATTTTTTATATTAATTGTAATTAAAAAAAATACAAAACAATTATGAAATATTATAATATAATTTCCATTCATTTTGTATAATTAAAAATTTTTTTTATAATTACAATTTAAAAACATATATTTTTTTATATGTTTTTAAATTATAATTATAAAGAAATAAGTGATATTTCAATTATAGCTTGCAATTTTTATCTTTTCGTTCTTTTAGTGATTATAATTTAAAATATCTAAAATTAGCAAATGTGTTATTTAATTCTTTTACAGGCTTACAAGTAGTATTAAAATCAATACTGTATGCAATGGCTCCATTGTTGCAAATTGGCTTACTAGTTCTCTTTGCTATCGTCATATTTGCAATTATTGGATTAGAATTTTATTCCGGTATATTTCATTCCGCATGTTATAATGCTTATGGTGAAATTGAAAATCTCAGTGATCGTCCATATCCATGGTTAGTTTTCTGAAGAAAAATTTTTTTCAAGTATTATTGAATTTAATTTTTAACATGTATAAAATAATAATAAGTATATTAATTAAATAAATAGATAATAAGTTTTTCTTGAAAAACAAATTACAAGTAATTTATTTAATGGTATAAATAGTTGAAAAATTGTTTTAGATTCATTAATTATAATAAATCAATGAACTCTGTTAATATTTCACAGCGATCCTTTTTTTCTAACTTCTTCAAATTTTAATATTAATAAAATAAATAGATGATAAGTTTTTCGATTAATTATAGTTCGAATAAATCAGCAGCGACGGGTGCACATAATTGTGAGGTAGAGGGTACAGTATGCCTTACTCAATGGATTGGACCGAATTATGGTATAACTTCATTTGATAATATTGCATTTGCTATGATTACTGTATTTCAATGTATTACTATGGAAGGATGGACCACTGTGATGTATTATGTTAGCTATTTCTAATTTTTTTGCCTAAATTATAATAATATAGTTAAATACAATATTAATATGTATTCTATATTTTCTGGAATGAATTTACAGAAAGTTAAAATTTCGTTTAATTTCAAAATTCAACGATCAATTCTTTTCCAATTTTATAATAATTATTAAAAATCATTTATGATCAATTTACAGTTTCTAATTATAAATTTACTTCATATAAAATTGATACATTTTACAATTTAAAAATTAAAATTTTAATCAAAGTAACCGATCATTTATTTTCAGACGAATGATTCACTTGGTAGTACATATAATTGGGCTTATTTTATACCTCTAATTGTTCTTGGCTCTTTTTTTATGCTCAATTTGGTCCTTGGTGTTTTATCCGGGTAAATTTATCTTCTTTCTAAATATCTGTTTCAAATATGTTATAATAATATTTCTGTAAATTTTCACATAAATTTAAAAATCATATGATTAAATCTATTCTCAATTAAAAGTTCAAAGTTCAAGTAGTGTTTGCAGTGATGATGTTAGTATTTGATAAGAAAATATGAAATCATGTCAGCAATGATAATGTTAATATTTGTTAAGATAATATTAGATCTTGTTAGCGGTAATAATATTAGTATTTGCAAAAATAATATAAATCATTTATGATAGTGTCAATAAGTTCTCTGATTTACCTTTACCTAGCTAACTTTACCTTACCATATTCAAATTACAGAATAATTCTTGCAGTATTTTTTGCTAAATTGCTGTATAAAAAATCGCTCTACCTAAAATCATATTCAAAATATTTCAACTTGAAATACAATAAAGTATATGAAAAAGAAATGAATCAATCACTGACTTAACTATTTCAGCATAGTTAATTTCTCTCCATTTCTTTTTCTTTTAACTTATCAAAATTAATATTTTATTCCATTGTCATTTAAATACTTTTCATCGTATTGCAGACATGGCGAACATTCAATTCATTCTTTTAGTAATACGCGTAATTCGGGAATTTTTAAAGAGAGAATCTCTATCTTTAGATTCTCACTTTAAATAGAATCTTTAGAATACTAATCGATATCCTAAAATAGAATCTCTATCTTGCGTCTTTCAACTTACATTATTTTAATTTTAATTAAACAATACGAATTCAATAGTTTAACTTTTTATACTTTCTGTTCTTATATTTACAAATTATAAGTCTATTATATATTTTAAAAAATTTTTCTACTACTTTTATAAATAAACCAGCAGATCAATTGCTCATCAATTTAAATTTTTAGATTTACTTATTACATTAATATTACGTTGTGTTAAACTGAGACTAACGTATGACTACAATATTTTTGAGTCACGAAGAATTAGTTACAGATATTGTAGCAGTTTTAGAAGAAATGAGATAATGATAATTTGCATATTTGATAAAAATACCAAAGAGCTAATTATCTTCAAAAAGTCATTAAAGTTTTTTTTAACTAAAAATTGTCTTAGCAATTAATGTAACTTACATAAATAGAAATTTTGCAAAAAGAAAAATTAGCCATTGTAATTGCAGTGAATTTGCGAAGGAACGTGAAAGAGTTGAAAATCGTCAAGAATTCTTGAAATTACGTAGGCAACAACAAATTGAACGTGAATTGAACGGTTATTTAGAATGGATTTTAACTGCTGAAGAAGTGATTCTGAAGGAGGAACGAACTACTGAAGAAGAAAAAGCAGCTATTATGGAAGGTTTGATTTGTCGAAAAAAGAGCTATGCGATATTATTGAAATTAAAATATGCTGTATTTTACAACTTGGATATTTTTAATTAAACATTGACAATCCGTGGCAGCATTGTTTTTGGATTTTCAATGTATTGTAAGTATTGATTAAAAATTTTAATCTTATTATCAATAATGGATTAAATTTATAAGAGATGAAAAATTCGATGAGATGAAAAATGAATCATATGTTTTTTTGTAGCACGACGGCGAATTGCAGCAAAAAAATTAAAGCAAACAAATATGCAGCAAAGTATCGAAACGGAAGAGGATATTGATGAAGAGGATGAGGATGAAGAGGGTTACCTGAATGAAGGAAATGAAGGTCCTTGCAATATTTACATGCTAAATTTGTCACTTCATAGTCACTTCATTTAATGAATTAATTTATTACTTCATTTGACTTCATTTGAATTCATAGTTACTTCATTTAATGAATTAATGAATATACATTTGAACTAATTAAATTATAAAAATTTTTTCAATAAAAAATTGATTAAGGTAGAAAAGCAAGAAGAAGTTTTTACGGATCGATATGCAAGAAAGTACGAAATATGAGGTTTGCATTGCGATTGATCTTAAATACAAAACTTTTTCAGATAAAATTATTAAATAATTTATGAAAGGTTCTGATAAGACAATCATTATTGTGATTAAGATCATGATAAAGATATAATTTGGATTAATCAAGAAAATGATCAAATCATTATCTCAGAAATAATTTGCCGCCTATACATTAATAATTTAATTAGTACAAATAAGATCATTAAAAAGAAATCAAATTAAATAAGATATAGGAATTGAAAAAAGTTATCTTCAAATAGAAACAGTTATGGTTTTCTTAACTAAATATAATTTTAAAGGGTTCAAATGAGACTTATTGTAAAAAGTCAAGTATTTTATTGGTTGGTTATAACATTAGTCTTTCTGAATACTGCCTGCGTTGCTTCGGAACATTACGGACAACCGGAATGGTTCACCGAATTTCTAAGTATGTCTTTATTGAATTCAAAATTATAAATCCGTAATTTAAATAGTTTGTCAAATAATATTATAAAGAGATTTCTAGCAAAAATAGATACCAATTGAAACGAATTTTGATTTAACTATCGATTGAAACTTTTTTTAAAGTTAATTAATTAAAACTATCATTTATTTCATACCTTTAATAGATTATTTAAAATGATGATTTATCATTTAGTAATAAAAAAATTCCTATCAAAATATTTAAATGTTATAAATAAATACATTTTTATGTAAGAACGAATAGTAATTAGCATCAATTATTAATTAAGCGGAAGTGTATTTTAAAATTAAAATTTAAATATTTTTAATGGTAATGTATTTTAAAATTAAAATTGTTTGGCGCAAAATATATTTATAGAATATGCGGAATATGTATTTTCGGGAATATTTATATGTGAAGTATTAATGAAACTATTTGCAATGGGTCATCGTGTTTATTTCGCATCAAAATTTAATCGTTTCGATTGCATCGTTATTGTTGGCAGTGTATTTGAAGTAATTTGGGCAGAATTAAAGGGTGGCTCATTTGGTATTTCTGTACTTCGAGCCTTACGGTTATTGCGCATTTTCAAGCTCACTTCGTAGGTATTTTTGTATTATAAAATATTCCTCTTCTTTTTTCCTTTCTCAATTTATATATTTTTAAAAAAAAATTATTAACATTGAAATTAATAAGAAATAATCGTTAGAATAAATATATTCTTATGATACATTTAATATGCTACTCTTATGATACATTTAATATGATATTCTTATGCTACATTTAATATGCTATTCTTATGATACATTTATTATTCTAACGATACACTTGATATATTTAATATATAATATAATACATTTAATATGTTCTTATGATATATTTAATATGCTATTCTTATGATACATTTAATATGCTACGTCTATTTTCCGACATTTTTTTTAAGCGCAAATATTACTATAACTATTGAATTTATTATTATACACATATTTTTCATTCTAAAATAATAAACAAAATGAAATTATTAATTTCTAATATCATTGAAAATTTCAAGCCTTAAACTATTATGCATTTTTAAGCTCATTTCATAGGTATTTCTGTCATAAAGTATTGCTTCTTTTTCTTTCCGAATTCTATATTTTATTTTTAGTACCTGTCGAATAAGTAAGGTATAACTTATTAACTACTGTTTTATTCAGGTATTGGATATCATTACATAACCTTATACATTTTTAGTATCTGTTGGATGAGTAAAATATAATTTATTAATTACTATTTTAATCAGGTACTGGATATCATTACGTAATCTTGTCCGTTCACTTATGAATTCAATGCGCTCTATTCTCTCACTATTATTCCTCCTCTTCTTATTTATTCTTATTTTTGCCTTATTGGGTATGCAACTGTTTGGCGGAAAGTAAGTTCTTATTAAATTGTTTTCTTTGATATGATAAGTTAACAAAAAAAATTATCTTATGATAACGGAAAACCAAAATTATGTTTACGAAGTATTGAAGCTAATTCAATATGGATATAATTTCTGATCAAGAAATGAAATACGATTCCATATCAGGAGATTGAGATAATTATTCTATTTAGTAATTAATTAAAATAATTAAAGCGTTTTTAGTAATTAAAATGAACACTTAGTGATAACATAAAAGTCATCAAAATTTTCTTGAATATTAAAGCTATTACTATTCAAACGCGAAATAATTATCGTCTTTATAAGTTATTGAAAAAAACAAAAATTTGTAAGAAATTTATTATCAGTTTTTTTATTTCAGATTTAGTTTTCCGTCCGGTCGTCCGTATACTCATTTTGATACATTTCCGGTAGCCTTAATTACAGTCTTCCAGGTTTGTACTTTGAATATATTATTTTAATAAAATTTAGTACATAATTTGATATAATATCAAATAATCCAACAGTACACTTATATAATTAATCTCTTATTATGGCCTTGTTTTTTCATGTTCTAATTAATATTAATTACTAATTCGAAAGATTTAATCCTTCTGAAATAAAATTCATATATTCACTGATATGCATCATTGATAAAATGATAAAATTAGGATAACTTATTATGATTATTACCCTATCTATGTGTATACATATGTGTGTGTTCTGTTTTTGGATAAATTAATTAATTAATAAAACAATGCTAAGTAAATAAAGATTGAGAAAACGAATTAAAATTAAAACTTTCAGATACTAACGGGAGAGGATTGGAATGAAGTGATGTATTTAGCAATTGAATCACAGGGTGGCATATATGGTGGTGGCATGATTTATTGCATATATTTCATTGTACTCGTACTTTTTGGCAATTGTAAGTGAATGAATTGATTAGGATTTAAAATTTTAAATGATGAAATTTTTTAAATTTAAATTAAGATTTTTTTTGATAATTTTTTAGGGGAAAAAAAAGAATTTTAATTTATCCATTTTATAGATACTTTATTAAATGTCTTCTTGGCTATCGCCGTAGATAATTTAGCAAATGCACAAGAATTAACAGCAGCTGAGGAAGCAGATGAACGAGCCAATGAATTAGTGGATAATTCGGAAAGTCTTGATGAACAGGTATTTTATGCTTATTAAAATTTATAATCATTTTAAACATAAATGTAAATTATTTATCCATACTTCACGTTTTCGTTAGTTTACCATTATATATACATTTCCGCCTATTTGAATCTATAGAATATATAGTAGATAATCTCTATACGATATATAGTTGAATAAATCTATACAATATGTAGTATAAAATAAAATAAGTATTATAAATATGTAAAAATATTTAGAATAGTAAATGATGTAAAAATAATATTGTAATGATGAAAATTTGAGGATAGCGAACAATGCGCTATCGATATGGAAGGTAAAACGGGTGGTAATATGTCGGAAATGCAACGTGACATAGACGGTATCATAATTTCTTTTCATATAATAATCATAATTCTATCAATTAAAATATTATTAATTACTTAATTTCATAATAATTTTTAACTGGAAATGAAATACTCTTAAAATACGTAAATAATTTTATTAATTATATTTTTTTAGAATTACCTATAAAATTTAATTTTTGTGTTTTTATGATTACCTAAAAATCATCAAAGTAATCGTATATATGAGTTTATTTACCTGTGAAAGGTAATTAAAAATTAATTAAGTTAAGATTTTTTTAAATTATTCATCAATTCAATTAAATTTTTGTTATTAATTCATATATTAGCTATATCTTCAGAAATTCTTATATATACTATTAATTAATTGTTATATTATAGCAAATAATTTCAGATGAATATGAAGAAGAAGAGAGTCCATTTGGTGGTCGTAAACCTATAGTACCATTCTCTTCAATGTTTATCTTTTCACCAACAAATCCGTAAACTTTAAATTTTAATTCTTTTTTTTAAATTCTTAAAATTATTAACAAATTTTATATAACTAACATTTAATCACTTAATTATAATAACTTTCTCATAGTTAAATTTATTTTGATATTTAAATTTTCAAAATTTAACCTTTATTTTGTTTGTCAACAAAATTTACAGATTTCGTGTATTGGTGCATTCGATAGTATCAACGAAATATTTCGAAATGTTTGTAATGGGTGTAATATGTTTCTCCAGTATAGCGCTTTCGGCAGAAGATCCGGTTGATGAGGATGCTCCAAGGAATAAAGTACTTCAATATATGGATTATTGCTTCACGGGTGTTTTTGCTTTGGAAATGTGCCTTAAAGTATCGTTTTCTTTTTTGTTAATTTTAATTAAATTAATTTTAGTAAATATCAAAGTTTTTAAAGAAAGAAATATTTAGGCTATTGATTGACAATAATTTACTATTGATTAATTTAGGCTATTGATTAATAATAATTTAATTGAAATAATTTATCTTCAACATTTTATCTCTGATTTGTGATAAAAATTTTATAGCATTTTAATTCTAAAATTTATTGAATTTTCAATTTTAAGTCATTTAATCTTATAAACATTATATGACGGCCATAAATAAACGTTTTATATTGTTTAGGGTGTATTAATTCTTTCAGTTTTCTTCTGCTCTATTTTCTCATTTTCAGATCCAGCTATCCCTTTCATTATTGTAGGTGCATTTCTGAGAATATT